TAAAAACAACCAACCACCCCCCCCAAAATAAAAAAATACAGATGTCACAGGTAATTACAGCTATTTTTGGCAATACAATTATTGTTTTTTTTAAACAGCAAACATTTTTCTCAAATAAATACAATCTGCTCACACTAAAAAACATAATAAACAGAATGATACAACAAGTTTAAAATGGAAAAAAAAAAAGTATCCATTGATAACATCAAGTTTTAAGAGATGTCCACAGAGAGAAACTTCAGAAAATACATTTTAATGGGAAGTAATAGAAAGGAACTGGCTGTGTATTTTCTGTTACGTAGCATGTATGGTTCATGACTATTCCCCAGGGAACGAGTATTTGAGGAAGTGGTGAGAAGTAAGTAGCGATTTAGAGTGTATGCAACCAATCACACTGCTTAATTTTTTTTGTTTGTTCATTCATTCACCATTTTAAGCATGTCTGTTACCACCATAATTTCATGTCTATTTTAAAAGTTCAAATAATTTCCTCTACGCTTCGGCTCTTTTTTAAAAACAAAACAAACCACAAACCAAACCTACTAAGGCTCCCTTTCTAAACAATAGTTTTCATATGGAATTTCAATACATTTTAAGTTGTGAAGCATCACAAACTAATTTCCAGCTCTGGGTTTAAACGAGGGTTAGTCGACTACAGCCTAACTCAACTATCTAGCGTCCCTCTTTTTGAAATGAACGTGAATATAATCAGACACTAAATCTCACCTGACTTCTGCATGCATTTCTTAAATTGGGACTGGAAGGGCTCAACCCCACACAGATATGAGTCCTCCAAATTCCTCATTAAGTCAGTGGCAGGGAGGGGGGAGCAGCCTGCGATAGGACCAGGCTTTGCGCGGTTTCATCCCAAGCCTGAGGAAATCATGAGAAATCTTTCTCTTTCTTTCCCTGGGCTCTGGATCAGGCCTTTGTAAAGACCCACGGGACCCGGGGGGAAAAGTTTACGACCCCTCACGCCCAGTGCAGTATGCAGGAGCTAAGCAGAGAGGCCGAGGTTGTCACAGTGCTGTACACAACCCCCTCCCCATCCTCTCACCCTTTTTTCCAAGAGCTGCAGTTAGCGCACAAAGATGACAGTACCCACGTCCCTGAGATATTGCTACCTGGGGGCTCAGGGCTGCGGATACAAAATAATATGCTGGGAAATAGTGCTCTAGCATCCCTTCTACCCTCTTTGTTTTGCAGAATTACCGCTTACGTTGCCTTCACTAAAGATAATTCCTGCAGAATTCTTGTAAACAACCACTTAATTGGTGATGTAAATTATCACTTTCATAATAACGTTGACGCCAGAAGCTAACACCAGAGGAGAGAAGGAGGCTCCTACCATCAGCTGACTTCTTTCTGAAACTGTTCAGGCTGAGTGAAAAGGGAAATACGTTGTTTTTCTCTGAAGTTATGGCCTGGATCCTCAAGTGTGCACAAACAAGCCAAGCTTTGTTGATTTGAGTACACAGTGTCAATTTACACTCACAGAGAACCTGGCTCCACGCTCAGAGGATTTAAGTATTTGGCTGTAGCTGCTAATGCACCAAATGTAAGGGAAACGCGTGAAACTTTAGACCTGGCACCTGCATTAAGCTGGAAAGGTATCCCCAAGCAGAGCTCAAGCCTTGGGGTTGGGGCACGCTGCAGCCCCCTCCCATCCACTTCAGCAGGGGGAGATACAAAGTCCGGTGATAAGGACAAACTGTTGATCAAACCTGAACTTTTTCAAATACCCTGGTTTTGACCTCCTGGTGCCGAGTGTCATCCTGTCAGCTGCTGCTGTGCAAGAACATCGTTCTGCACGCTGATTCTTGTATTTTTCTAGCCCAACCCTTAAGTTGCAGTTTATGAAAATACTGGATGAACAACTTATTCTTGGCAGATTTCCAGCTTTATTCCTTAACTGGGAAGAGAGGGAAAAATCTAGGAACTGCTATTTGCCTCCTATACCGTAATTAAACTGTTGGGATCTGATGCAGCTCACAGTGAAGGCAAGGAAAAGACTTTCACGCGCTTCAGATAGATCAAGTCTAATGTTCCTCTGGGACAAAACACTGAAGTGACATTAAATACACACTAATGAGCAGCAATGGAGTGAAAGTGAAGCAGCAATTGTTTTGTATTCTTAACATCTCAATTAAAAATTTAAAAGACAGAAGATGTTTCTTTTATCCCCCCAATAAGCCTTATCAACGTGAGACTACTTAACACAAAACTCCTATGAGAAATGAAAATGCTAGAAGAAAATAAAATTTTTCTTTCTGAGATTCTTGACACCTGAAAAATCTAATTTGAGATAAGACTACAATTGTCAAAATACTTTCCCAAACATCCAAAAATATACTTTTTTTAAAGAAGAGAGTATTTTAACATCTACCTTCTCAAACAGAACACTCTTTTCTATACTACTATATGCAAAGATCAGCTAGTACAATATTCAAATTGTGCGTTCAGGTTTTGTTCCCTCTCTGTTTCATGCTTCTGTCTGAATAAACTCCTTGTAACGTTGCTTAAATGCAGTAGGACCTGAGCAGCCTCCACTGTTTTGTATAGGCAATATTTGTTGCCTCAAATTACATCTTACTGGCCCATAGCATGAAGCAAAAAGCAGTTCAGAGAATTACACATGCATCAGTAACCAAATTAGTTTTGGTGTGATTGTCATCTATTTAGTTTTAAACTCTTTGCAAATTTGCAGTGAGTAAGCATGGAGGAAAACAAGCCAGAAATGCTCTTCAGAATGTCTGTACACAGCCAAAAATAGTTTAAATTACAGTTAAAAACTAAAGTGACAGCAGTATAACTGCATGGGAGCAGATTCTTCTGTCATCTCATAAGTTATCTCCCTGACATTTCGGTATACATCCCTGGTATAATAATGCACTTATGAGTGGCCTACTGTGTATTACATAGCCATAAATGTATAAATAATGGACTATCGTTACGGATCGTGACAATGTATGTATTGTACAGGATGAGCTCTCTGCTGACGCAAAATCTGTACAGAATCTGGTGTACTCTCCCTGGCAAGCTCAATAAAACCCACAGGCAAAGCTAAGCTAAAACCCCTTAAGATTTGTTACGTTGCAATTGCTGAGTGTTTTGCCTCATTTAGGAAGAAGAAATTGCAGTTTATCACTCCTTATTTGTTCTGACTGCTGAAAGTGCAGCTCAGTCATATCCTACTGGTGAGACCAGTCCTGCCGAAGGCTTGCTAGGTTAAAAGAAACCAACACAAAATCAAACTTTGATCTTGCTATGAATAATAAACCTTTGTCAAAGTCGCCCAGCATAAACTTCTGTGCCATACAAACATTTCAAATGAGGACACTAACACTTTCTGCAGAGGGAAAGCTGGAGAGAAGAGGGGTACCTAGGATGCCAGAATTTCTTTCCTGGTACTTCTATAACTTCCCTTTGATGGTATTTGTGGGAATACTCAGCCTTATGGCCCAAACCAAGAAAGGAATATGCCTTAAATCTCTTTCATCCCATTTTAGCACATTTTAAAATACCTTCTTATAGTTAGCCTACACTGGTAAGACCTGTACAAATGTCTGCAGGAACTCTTTGACCCAAGGCTGATGACTTAAGATAATATTAATCTAAAAGAGACCTGCTCTGAAGCCAGTTTATACTACAAACTACCCACTGCAGTGTATTTTGCATTCTCCTGGGAAGTAGCTGGTATTGGGATCTTGCAGGCTGTTGCACTAAGAGGACCCTTCCTGTGATTTCAAAGATTTTAGCTACAGATGGAAACCTTTCTCTTCCCCTTCTCCCCAACATTATCTGTTCCCCCACCAGATAAATAGTATCCTAACAGGCCAAAGCATGTTGCTTCTAAATTTAAGCGTACTGTTTTATCAGCTCTGCTTTGTCTTTATGACAGATGGCACTTAGGAATTAAAGAAAAAGAAGCAAAGCATGCAGTGCAGGCTGAATTTCAGCGTCTTTTTGATTTCATCATTACCTCCTGAAGAAAGCTGCTTACTGCAGAACCTCACCAGGGCTGACGGAAGAGCTCACACAGGACAGAAAGCCACCACTGTGTAAATGACCAGCACAAAACCTCAGTATAAAAGGGAAACCCCTTTTTCAAGGTCTTCTGAAGGGAATTTAAATGACACAAAACACTTTAGGCTGGATCTGTGCACAAGGGTGGATTTCAATAACCTAAATAAAGGAAAAAAAAAAACCCTCAACTTTCTAAATCCTTCAGGTTCGGTTGGAAAAGGCTTGTTTCATCTTCACTTAAACGAAACTGCTCCCAGTCTTTGTTCACAACAGTGTTGTCTTTTGATGTGCAAACTTCATCTGTAACTGAGGTGAAATTCAGAATTTTCTTCTGACGTCGATCGGTGTCAATCAGTCTTTGCATCCATGGTATGCCCAAAACAACCCTTAACACAGTGCTCAAATAGAGGAGAGGAATAATCTGATGCTGCCTGCAGAGGCAATGCTGGACTCTCATTTCTAGCTGATGGTGATACACTTTATGGAAGGTGCTGAGAATTTCGGGGTTGTGAGCAAGGGGGGTCTCAACATGTGCTCCTGAACAAGCCTGCTAATGCTTTGCGAAAATAGTAGTGAAAAAAAACCCCAGCATCCTAAATACTTAACTTTTACATAGTGCTAGTTGTTTCTAATGTGGTGCAGGGGGCAGTGAAAGTTACTGGTGTTATCAGAACTCCATTCAAGATGGGAAAATCTACCCGTGCTACTGACTAAACAGAGACTCCCTGTGGTGCAAGAGCTTCAACCTGTATTTTAATATTGTTTCCTTCAAATCACTCCCTTTTGTATTTGCCTAGTTGTATATGAGAATTTTTGCATGACTGTGGCTGTGTGAGAGATATGCTAGAACAGCTGTTTGTGTGATCCACTAAACATATTGTGACTATTTTTCCACTGTCAATAAACACAAGAAAGAAGAGACATTCTCCAACGCTTAGAAAGGCCATGGGTTTTCCTCGCTCATGTAGCTTTGCCTATTCTTGTAGTAAGGTTTCTCTCCAGTTAAAGCCTCCAGTTGGTCCGTGTGTGAGAGGGAGGATGGGGGGGTCCGTAAGCTGCCAAACACCTGTATCTCCCAGTTCTTCGCAGGAACAAAATCCCAAGTATGGAATCTGTGTGAAGAGAGATGGAAATAAAGGCAATGAGCAGGGATTGAGCTGTGCGAGGAGGGAGCTCCCCTAAGGGCTGAAGTCCTGCTGTTCTACTGAAGCATTTCACTGTCTTTTCTCTCTTTTCCTCTCTCCAAAGTCCATTTTCAAAAGATGATTGTAGGACGTGGGTGTGACAGCCAGACTTTGTGCACCATTGTACATGCAAAACACTGGGAAAGACAGATTATACCCTTGTAACATAGTTTAAATATGGGCCAGTTCAAACCAAAGATGTCCTGTTGGTTAACACGGTCCCAAAACCTGAAGGCCAGCAGAGCTACGGAGGAGAAATACGGATGCTACTCTGGCTCGGGTGCCTTCAGATCAAGTATCAGCTATGAATATCCCAGAGAGTGTCTGCAAGGCTGGCAGTGGACAATGCCATCTCCTTAGCCAGGGCAGGAGTAAAGCAATGAAGGCAGAAGACTCCATTATAATTTTCAGGCCTTTCCCCTGACCATTAAAAGCTCATTAGTGTGAAATGAGAAGGGGAAGTGTTGTAGGGCAGAAGTGCTCTATTAACTGTGGTTAGGGGGTTTTCAGCACTGGAGGGCACTGTGGGAGCCTCTGTACAGCCCTGGTATCTACAAGCGTAAAGCAGAGCCACTGCAAGCCCATTTGTAGGTGGGCACCTGATCCCATGCTATCTGTTACAGAAGTGACACGTTAAGATAAGCCTCTTAAACCAATCTGCTTTACTCTCATGACTTCTGAAATGGATGAAACTCAGTAACGGGCAGAATGATCAGACGGGAGGAACAAAGCGTCCTCTGCCTGGTTAAGCAGATTGCAAATTTCTTTTCTCTTTGTAAAGCCAGCGAGCTGTACTCCTGGTTGGTGGTAATTACCTTTCGGACCATCTGTACAAAGTCCTTGGAGTTCTGCGGCGACAGCCCTTGGAGCTGGCAGGTACAAGCCTCCAGGGAGGACGCGTGTGCCACTATCAGGATGTTATTTCCTGAAATAAAGTGAGAAACGCAGGCTGAGGAGAGGGATGAAGTCAACGTTAGGGACTGGTGCCCAAGATCGAGCTAACCATTTAAAATATTCAAAATGGGTTCAGTTTATCATATAACAACACACTAAACTACGTATATATGGGGGAAAAAGCATGGTTTAGTAACATATTTAGAGCATTTCTCAATTTTCAGGGTAACGGTTGACTCAGCGCTACTTAGTTTTAAAATGGCTTTCTGAAGAAAACAAGAATACCAGTGAGATTTCAGCTTTTTGTGAAGCAAATACTTTTCTTTTACGCCCAAATTAATTCTGACTAAAACAAGCACTTTAATTTCAGTCGCTGGTTTCCACAGCAATTGCTTTAGATTTCTATTTCCAAGATCCTTTACAACAAAAGTCACGCTGTGCTATCGAGGTTTGTGGGCAAACTATTAGAATAAAAGGTTTAGAATGTAGAGACGGATTAGTGAAATGAAATTAGTGAAATCACCAGAACTTAAAAACATCGTATTCCTATATTGTGAATGAAAAATAGAAGCTTGAGATTTTTTTTTTTATTTCAATATTGTGTTTGGAGAAACGTTTACAGTCTTTATGGGTATATATTTCAGAAGAGTAGCTCAGATAGAGGACGGAAGATGCCCCATCTGATGCTGGTAACAGACAGCAGAGTGCGAATGGCTTATTTACTCCCTTGAGAAACAGATAGCTTGCATCGGGTAGGGATCCCTAAAATACTTCTGCTACTGAAGTTTACGGACATTTCTCGTAAGCTGAGCGTATCTGAACTCATGGTTCTGAGACATACAGCTGAACCTGGAGTTCCCAATGTCTCTGGGAGAGGGGATAAGAGACTCAGACATGGGGGTTCATCCCCTTGAAGAGGGAAAGACTGGTCGGGAATATTGGCATTCACGCCCCAGAGAGCCTGTCTTGTTTTTCACTCCCTCTGTCGCACTTACCTTTGCCTTTACATTCACTGATGATTTCTTTTGTTACTTGGTAGCTTCTACTTATGTATGTATCATAAGATTCGGAAACCACTAACTTGCTGACAGGAATATGAGGTCTGTGAGCAGAAAAACAAGTATGGTAAATTGGAAGAAGTTTTAAGTGCAAGTTATGATTCATCTGAAATTATCTGTTTCTTTAACTCTTCTAATTCCTCAAATCCCAGAACTGCATCTTGTGTCAGGACCACTATGATGATTTTTAAACTTCAAGATCGAGATGTTTACCGTTCCTGCGTTAAGATATTTCAGTTAGCTGGGAAAAATGATAACTTCTTCCTCTAATGTGGACCAGTTAGCGGAGGCAGCACACAACATACTGATTATGCTTGTGTTACTTTTGCAATGGCACGCGGCAATAACGATGCCACTTCGTGGTTACTTATGCGTGTGTCCGTTGATTAGCAGATTTCAGCGCTCACCCACCCACATAAAGTTAGTGAGTGGCAGGAGAACAAAACCTGTACCCAGCAGGAGTGGGTGAGCAGGAAGGGACAGCGGGACAAGGACGGTGTGGGCGCAGACGCCTGCGGGCAGGCGGGTCGGCTCTGCTGGCTGGGGGCCGGGCGGGCACAGCAGCACGGGGGGCCAAGGGCGGTGGGGGCGCAGCCGCCGGCGGGCAGGCGGGTCGGCTCTGCTGGCTGGGAGCTGTGCGGTCACAGCAGCACGACAAGCCAGTGCCCAAGCCGTCTTTGCCAGACTGAGGTCTGCGCTGTGCTACCACGGCTTCCAGCTTAGAGGGTGGGCTGACAACATCTGTGTCTGTCTGAGGAGACCGGGCAGGTACAGGGAGAAACGTGGAGCGTGGAGAAGGCAGATGCTGGCTCTCTTCACTGCTCATGCTTTGATGGTGAAGGGCAGAGGCAAACTGCTGCTTTGGCCATCTGTCAAGCTGCATTGCTGGGAAATGCCTGGAATTAGCCGGCCTCCTCCCAGGCCAGGGCGTTTCAGTGAATTGCCTGGCGGGACTCTGGCCAATTGTATCAGCTGGAGTAGAAAGTGTGCACAGAGAAGCAGGGGATAGGAAGCAGAAGGCTGTACTTCCGTGCCGCGGTGCAAGGAAAAGACCTAACTTTTCCCTCTATCCAGTGATCTGATGCATCTACAGGAATTACCACCGTGAGAGGAGACAGAGCGCACCCGGAGGGCTGTGTCTCAGTCCCTCACCTCACCAGCTGACCACACAAGAGCAGGCTCTTTTCTTGTGCTGAGAATATTTGTTATGGTCTTCCCAGAAGGCACGTAGTTTCTGAAGCAGACTCTCCTGTGGTCCAGCTGCTCTGCCGAGCGTTAGCCATGTGATGCCCTTTCAGGGATAAATACAGTGTAAGGACTTCTATTTAGATATCCTCAGTGTTGGAATTTTAGCTGCAGACCAAAAGGACGCACCACAAGTCGTTTAGGGTATAATTAGGTATTAAAAAAATCAGGGTTTTTTTTCCTTTACATTTTTTTTCTTGTTTTTCTTTTTAATGTTTCAGCTGCTTATTCCACTTGAGGGTTCGTGAACACATGGGTGCGCTGGGACACCGGGAAACACCAGTGTTTCTGGTGATACCATAAACCACAAAAGCCCAGCCACAAAATATTTGTCACCAAGCCCGTGTAGGTGGAACTCCTGTGCGTGTATACTATGTGCGTATTATAAACGTTTTGTTTTTATCTGAGATTGCTCAGACGGTGCTCCGACTCACGCTAGATAGAAAGGGCTAGTCTCTGCAAGAAGTCATAGCGATACAGATAGTTCAGCAGTGAGGTGCGGTGGAGGACTGGAACTGTGTGACCTTTCTGGAGTTTCCTTCTTTGTGGGAGCTCTTTGAGTCTGGCTTGTATAAATGAATCATAAATTTGAGAGTAGGAAGCCCGAACAGATCATCTTGTCTATTCTTTGCCACATGACTATTTCTGCTGGGTTTTATTTAGCCTTTCTCTCTGCAGCTTACAGTAAAAAGCATTTGTGTGATAGGCTGGAGGGCACCGTGGCTGCGATGCTTCACTGGGGAGTCAGAAGAGTCTTGAGTTTTCCTCCAGACTCAGGCTGCAGGTTGCTCCCAGCAGCCCCGCGGTGTTTGTTGGCAATGTTACTGGGAACACAGAGGTACGGCCATGTGGCTGGATAAAAGGAAAGCAGCAGAGGCTGGCAGCAAGGGCGTGAGTTTGGGAAATGGAGCTGAACCAGGCACCAGGACTGATCTGTGCAGCCGCAGGGGTGGCTGGAAAAATGCCGAGCTCTGGAAAGGTCAGCTCTGCGCTTTTGGAGCGGCTCTGTCGGGGCCTCTGAAAGCCGAGCGAATTATCTTTGTTTCCCTTTTCTGCAAAGCTGGAGGAAAGATCGGTGGTGCTTATCCATTTGCCATTCAAATGTTTTTTTTAACCAGGCGTTTGCTTTGTTTGCTTTCACCAACTGTTTTTGGGTTGAATACCATGAAAACCTGAGTCAGAAACCTGCAATTTTTTCCACTAAAAATGTTTCAGATGTAATTGCTGAGAAGTGATAAATGCTTAGGGTTTAGCTCTTTGATAGAAAACCTCTGAATTTTGATGTCACAGGAGACCCTGAATTCCTGACAGATGTAAACATGTTCCCCAGGCTGCTGCAAAATTTACAATTAAGATCCATCACCATATTAATAGAAAGACAGACAAGTTTTTTCCTCTGGGGAATGGAAGGGAAGGTGTGAATGAGCCCAGGATCTGGTTTGGTCTATGAACAGGATGGTCAGGGAACTGAGTCAGCAAAACTAGTTCTGTTAGCTGAGCCCAAACTCCTAAGTTTTAGGAAAAGGGTTAAAAGAAACAAAAATACTTGGAGGGTTTCCTGGACACCTGAAAGATGCCCAGGATGAAAGGAGTACTGGAAAGAGGAGCTCCATGATCAGTAACATAGCTGGACCTTACCAGTGAACTGGGAAATTTGCTTTATAATAAGCCATTCTCAGGTCATGTTCAACACAGCAGCCTCAAGCCTGCTCTAAGTTTATTCTGGGAGCCTCAGCAGCTCTTCCAGTCACTGCTTAAATTGAAAAACTCAGCAGAGTGTTACTCTTCAAAAACAAAGCCAAAAAGCAATGCAAGACCCTCTCACCCCCCTTTTTCCTACCTGTAGGTTGTATCAACGCTTAGAGTAGCTGCAGCTAAATCCACGGGGGGTATCCAGGCAGGTAGTGTGTTCCCAGAGACCCACTTGGTCCATTCAAACAAGCCTGGCTCTATTCGTATTTTCAGGTTGTTCTCTTGTTGCATACCTGGAAAAGGGAGAAAGGAGAGCACTTATCGATAAAAGTAGCTGGGGAGGAAGGCAGCAAGACTTTGCAGCTTTAATACTTCAGTTTGATTGTAAACTATTTTTTTCCTCTCTAAGTAGTCAGTTGATTAATAGTAGGTATGAAAGATGAAGTATTTAATATATGTACTTGGCATATGATATGCCAGGGAATGTAAACCTCTGGCTGGCAGCTACATGTAATATACTGAACCTAGGCATGACTGTATTTTGGAGCTGGCTTTTGACTGTTTCCAATGCTGGGGCATCTCATGCCTCTATCACTGTTCGCTTCCCAGCTTCTGCAGTAAATTATTCTTACTGGGGTAAGCAAGTTGCTTGGTGGTAGCAATTGCTGTGGGAGCACGCAGCAAGGAGCAGCTGCAGGACTGTGAGCAGGCAAGGGTGCAGGGCATGCTGACCTGGACGTGTCCACCCTCCTGAAGGCACCTTTGGCTTCTGCAGGGATGGCAATAAACCCAACCCTGACCGGCAGCTGGTGTTAGGGCCAGCACAGCGCTTGCCTAAGCACTTGTCACACTGTGCAATTAGAAAAGGGCTCCTTAAGGGCAGTGTTGCGCTAATAGGATGTGAACTCCCACGGAAATAACCCTCACCCAAAGGTACCATTTACTTGGGTCTCCCATGTCAGGCTCCCTTTTATCTGGTTGGCAGTGTTTTTCCCAGAAAGCGAGGAGAATGCAGCTTTTCCTGCTCACTGGGTTCTTACCTTTCAGGATATTGTGTGCTGTCTGTACACACCGTAGGGATGGGGAGCTGTAGATGTAGTCTACAATGGTATTAGTTTCTAGCAAGGCTTCACCTGCAAGGAAGTTTCAACACCCGTGAATAAAACCAGACAAATGACATTGTAACAGCAACAGCAGCGTGCTGGGTATCTGCCACCCAGCAAGGAGCTAAAGCAGCTTCCCAGCTGCACTGCTTGTGTTTTGGGAAGTATGTGTACCCATCGTATTTTATTTCAGCAGCGTGTTGGGTGCTGTGATGTGCACAGCTGTGGAACGGGGATACATTTTTCTGTGTGTGCTGCTCCACGTGCACCTAGGTACTTAACCAGTATGCAAAGAAATCACAGCAGCTTTTGCTCAGTTTCTGCTTCTCTTAGATTTAGCCAAAAAGCAAACAGTGTGCTGAGAAAAATTGTAGAGAGCTTGAATTTAATTTCATTTCATTTATAAGCCATAAATCAGAATGATTCAACTTAACTCAAACCCAACTTAATTCAATTGGCTCGATTCTTCACTAGTATAAATTACCATTTCATTACACAGGTGGAAGATCACTGAAAATGAGATAAGAATCAACTCCACTATTAGGGTTATTAATATTCTTGCAATGCCTAAGGGAACCAAATGAGAACAGGAATCTGCTCAGCATTGCACAGACTTGTAGTAAGAAAGAGTTATATTTTTGTTATATTTGAAGAGGCAGGACAAAGAAGTGGGAGCAAGAAGGGGTGATTAACCTTGACTTCGTCTGTTTAATGATGGCTATAACCATGTCAAACCGATCTATAAATCTCTTGAGAGAAGTGGAGTAATTTAGAAGGAGCAGCACATCTAACAGCCCTCCGACACGGGGAAGCTCGTTTGCTTTAGTCGTCAGAGGAATTATGGCTCCGGCAATCGTCAAGGTCGAGTCTGTGCCGCTGCAGCGGGGAGCGGTTGCCTGCAGATGGCTGGCACGCCGCAGCCGCGCTGGCAGGTTGATGGCGTCTGGGTCACGTATGCAGTTGCGTACTCGGACCCATTTAATGATACCAGCAAAGTGTGCCGTGATTGCTCCCAGATTCGCCTTCTGCTATGTGCATATTGCGAACCCTGATGCCATGTGGCCGGGAGTCTGAGCATCCTGCTGTTGTACAGTGATTTATTTTTGTTTAAAAAGCAAGTATAATTTTAGCTGCCCTAGTTTGAATATGACCAACACGAAGTACTCTAAAGGATTTGAATTTGAGAAAATGCTACGTACTGCTCTCCCAAGCTCATGTCTTTAAGGGGCTAGGCTCCCCTAATCGCAATACTCAATATGTGCTCTTTGAATACCAAATGATTTTCTGTCTATACACAAACCAATGGGCTCGTAAGTCAGCGACAAGGATGGGGGGTGGTGGGAGAACACTGGAAATAATTTGGACTGTGTTTTTGCCACATAAACATAAAGCCAGACAAGCTGATAAAAGTATAATGGTGCAGCAAACTGCAGGTCAAAATTTAAGATTGTCAAAGTTAAGGAGAAAGCATATTTTACACGAGGTGACCGTCACACTGCTGCATTTCTCACCAACATTGGTAATATCAGCGTCTTCCAGTGCACCACGTTTACAGGGCGGCAGCAAATGCTCTGCAACTGCGCTGCTGATGGCTCTGATTTCATACCATGCCCTAGATTTTGTGCTTTGTCTTTTCCTCGGCTGTGGCAGCTGAAGGAGACAAGGTTTCCTTTGCAAGAGGGGGCTTGCGGAGAAAGGTGAAGGGACTTTGCAAAGGTTCTTGAAATGTCTAAATCCCGTTAGTTCAGGGCACCTGATTATTTTTTTCTCTGCCTTGCACTTTCTCTTTCTCTGGCTGGGTGTGTGGGAGGAAGATAACAAAGCTTCCTGGGCAAGCTTTTGTCTGCTGAGGACAACTTACCAACAAGCCTTGCCTGCGTACAGCCCAGCACGGTGATTGGCGCGTCTTTTTCATAATCCCTGAAACCGCCACTTCTTTGAGGTAAGCTGTGAGGCATATTCAGGTTACTACGCATATACCTTCCTGTGAGGGCAAGGTTAGAAGCAGTTGCTGGAATTAGTCGATCAGAGAGAGGCAGAGAGCATCACGCCTGTCTCCAACCTCTTCCACCACAACGTCTGCACCTTGCAGGTGCTGCCTAGACCTGGCTGTCGAGCAGTTTTTCCCATGCAAAACTATCAGGAATCTGACAAAATTAAGTATCAGTTCAAAATCAGCAGAGAACATTCCTAATGTTTTAAAGTTATCTTTAGGACAGATTTAATGCCCCAAAGGAGAGTAATTTTCATCCCACAACAAATGAAACCTCAAATGTTATACTTTTACAGGAGGCTAAAATGTCAGAGCTCTTCAAATATAATTTAGACAGAAAGTAATTGTAAAATCGTCTTTTTTTCCAATGATTTTGACTACAAGATACCGGCATTTTTTGAATAGAAAAAAGACTTTTGATAAATTTCCGATCAGCTCTAATGCTAACAGAGCCTGAAGTTACAGTCTGTTAACTATAGTCTGAAACTCAAGCACATTATTGGGTTGCAAACTCCAACTTATGCCCCAAAAGGCACTCTGAACTGTACCTGGAGAGGTGTTATTTTCATTTAGGACTAAGAGCCAGCTATGCAAAAGATTTTCCTGATGGTAGTACATGTTTGCACTGGACACTGATTGCTAACATCATGACTTCATTGCCAAATGAAAATGCTCTTTGGCAATGTTACTTTAATGTAATCTTTCCTGCAATAGTTTCCCAAATATTAGCAAACGTAGTATTTACTCCCTGGCTTGTGCTTCTGCTTCTGACTGCAGCCCTGCCAGCGCAGAGCTCTGCACTGAGCTGCTCTGCTACTCCTAACGGCTCAAAGCAATGGTTTGTGTTAGGAAACCAGAGCTTCCATCTAAGCTTTGCCCCAGGCAGCTGCCACTCTTGTTCCTTCATCTAAACCTCGAGCCTGAGAGACCCACGGGAGCCCGACTCACCTTTGGCATCAAAACACTGTGACAACCAGTACTTCCCAAAAACGACATCCATCCTTTCCCCATGTCTGCAGACAAACAGGCAGCGTTTCTGAGGCCCTGGCTGGCTGGTTATTCTCAGGGGCTGGAAGAAAAATTACAGGATGTTTGACCTTCATGAAAGTGCAAGGGTTTTTCTAAGATCTGATTTACGAATGGGAGGCAGGACCAGGCACCTCTTGCTTTACCCTAGTGCAAACGTGGGTTCGGGAAACTCTTCTGAAGTTGGTAAATTTATGCTGGTATAAAACTGCTAAAGTGAGCAGAGGATGGGGCAATGCCGCCCCATGCTAAGAGCAGGTTTGGCCACAGCGATATCTTCTGTGCCTGTGGTTAACTGTGTCATTCAAAAGCTTATAGAGAACTTTAACTTGCAACTTCTGACGAAGGTGGTGAAAGGAGATCAGAGGATAAGTTGTCAGGAAACTTGCCACTAAAACTTTGTGTGATTTATATGTGTGTGTGGGTCCCTACCTGCACATTCTGGCAGATGATAGTGAGTGGCCCCGCGTCCCCGGGTCCTTGGTCTTCCTGCTGTCGTCTTTCCAGAGCTCCATCAGTGAAGGCTTGAAGGGATGGGGAAGATGTAGTATTCAGAATTGAGTAGGACCTGTCAAAAATAGAAAGATGTTGGCTTTGGCAATGCTTTGGACTTTGTGCACTCAGGCTGCAGTAAGGACATTTCTGTAGTCTTCAGGAACCAATGATAATTTCTGTTGTCATGTTATGACATTATTATTGTATTTTACTGCTGCCTAGAAAGCACCTTGCTAGGTGATGTACACACATGAAGAGACAAATCCCAGCTCAACAAGCTTTCTGTTTCCTTAGAAACAGTTTCACAGAACAACAGTTCCCAAACTTTGGTCTGCGAGGCACTGTCAGCCCTCAAATGTTCTCATGGAAAATACCAAGACCTTCCTCGCAGCCACAGGATGCTCACTACCATCATCTGGCAACCAGCTGCACATTACTTATCATGGTCTTGCGGACCAAATTTTGGAAACTAATGGCTGCAGGGAGTTTTCACTCACCGTTGTGGCATCAACCATTGCTTCAGTAGAAAGCTGGAGCACAGCCCTGGCTCTCATGCTGGGCAGTTTTCAGGGTTCCTGCGCACAAAATCGCTTGTATCCCCTGGTAGGGACATGGCATACTCAGTCTGGCTTGTTGTTTCTATATTTTTCAGTGCTGTCTATTCTGTTTCCCATCTACAGTGGGAATTTATTCTCACCAGTGTTTCCTGTTAAGTGTAGCCAAAGGGATATAATAGATCCCATTCTCCCTCAAGGGGCTTATCTAATGATGGTCCCTCTGAATACCCAGACATTCAAGGACTTTGACTAAGACCCTCAGGAGTAAACTCTGACAGGCAATTACAGAAGCTGCAGTGACCCTCTGCTGATTCGGTTACATTGTATGGGTTATGTTTGCTTAGTAATTTAAAAAAAATGTTGTCAGTTAATGTAAATGGTCATTTGCTTTGACAGAAATAGTTGCCTTTGCTTGCACTTTTCAGTGCCTTAAAGATGTCAGAAGTTGCTTCCTGACTAGCACCTAGTTAGGAAAAAATCTCAGAGGGCTTTCATAGCTGTTAAAATAACACCAAGCACCTCTACCAGTGCAACAAAAATAGGTCATCTGCATTTTTGTAAAGAACTGATCTTCTGCGAGATCATAAGATTTGCACCAGTTTACAGAAGAAAAAAATACTGCACTGTTGGTCCTGATGTTGGTCCCTTATCTGGTGGAATTAGGGTGCAAGGGTGAGACCAAGCTACTGGCTTATTTGGTCAGGTGAAGGTGCCCTGCAGAGAAGCGCTGGCAGGCAAGGGGAGGAGGAGGAGGGAACCAGCCGTGCTGGGGACAGCACTGTTGATCCCCATCCAACAGCATGAAGCAGCAGCCAGGCCTCCTGCTCTTGCTCTTTCAGACCTGACCTTCTAGCATTACCGATTTTTACAATTCTATTTATTTTATTCATGGTGAGCTCCCAACAAGGACTGGGCTTGCTCCACGGAACTGTTCCTCTCATTGTCCAAATGCAGGTAGAGCATCAGAGGTCAGGGCAGCAAATACCTCTGAGTTAGGCAAGGTACGGCTCCGAGGAGCAACAGGGGTGGTGGATCTTGAAAAGGAGTTAAATGTAGGCAGGAGAGCTTTGTGGATAAGCTGAGGGAAATATTAGCGGGTGCTGCAGTGAGAAATCATGTCTAACCCTCCTCCTCAGAATACATGCGTGTGATATATTGCAGGCAGAAGTATGCTCGGACCACACTTCCAGCTGGCAGGATAAGGCCAACTCTGATCCAAAAGCTGCCCGAGTGCATTAGCGTGTGCTAAGCCCTGAGCAGGGAGTATGAACAGACATTTATCACTGTATGAAGGGGTCAGCCTGGAGTGTGGGTGCAGCTAGCACAGATTCATCCTCACTGACCCGAAGACCTGAATATCTCAATATGAGAAGAATCTGAATTTCTTAGCTAGGCCCCATCTCTATTGCTGTACAAAGTGGATCTTGAGCCTGTGCCCTCTGTCTTTACTGCTGTGTTGCAGCTTCCAACCCCTCATCCTATCTCAGCCCTTTCCCGCTTTGCCCATATGACAGTCTTTTAAGGATGCTGGCCTGGAGAATATTAAGGATTTGTTTGGTTACCCCTCATCCCTTTACCCCCAGGAACTGCTGCACAATTTCTGAGACTTATTGTCTCTCTAAGCCCTTTTTAAAAGGCCACAGATGCTGTGCTATCTACTTATAAATGCTAGGGTTTGCTGTGAATAATGACGAGGCAAAGGCATACTATCTTGCTATGTCTGGAGGAAAGCCACCAGCCTGACTTCAGTGGTATCTCCTTGATGTTGCTGGAGAACAGAAACCGCTGAAGCTATTTCAGCTTAGTCATCTTCTAAGCATAGGTCATTGTTTGGAAGCTTTTCCCAAAGACTTGTGGTTCCTCTGCTTGGCAAACAGAGCCTGAAGGCAGACAACAACATCTACTGTCTTCTGGATGATGCCTTGCCTTCACTGCTCTGTCAGTGATACTGCTGTGTCCCCGGAGGCAATGTCCTCCCAGTCAGGAAAGGCCCCTTGAAGAATGGAGATGCTGCAGCAGGGCATGGAGAAAGGGTCTCTGTCATGGCACGATAGCGCTAGTCCTCAGCTCTGTGTAGGAAAAGACTCCTCTGCTGCATCGCTCATCATTATCTAGAGGAGAGGGATCCCCAGGGAAAATGAACCAGCCGTTGTTGCAGAATGGGAGGAAGATGGAGTGGAAAAAAACCTACTGAGGCCCAAATATAGCTAGAAAAATTAGGGCTCTTTTTCCTCCCCCTGCTACTTGTGCCAAGTCTGATTTCTCAGGCTTATTAAGGGGGCAAGGAATAGCTTTGGCATCTCACGGGGAGCTGAAATAGACTGCTGTGTAATATCTACAGTGCTTCTATCCATTGTGGGACAGAGGAGGCGACTATTTCTGGCTTTGCTGGTAATGGAAAAGCAGTGCAGGGAACCACCACAAGTTTTAGCTTTTGGGTGATGCTGGGTCCACAGATACAATGATAGCACACTTACTTCTGCCATATGCCTTTACATGCATATGTGAAGAGCCCCGTGGTCTTGAATGCTTGGTTTTTGTGGCTTCTGTGGGGCAAGTAAATTCTTGTACCTTCGCTGGGCTTCCCACTTCCTCTGGGCTCTGTATGCTGAGGGTGGAAAGTTTCTTTTTTTGACTTGGCAGGCCACTAATTTTCAGGCATGAAAGGCAACTTCGAAAATACCCTGCAAGCAATGTGCTGGGGAGCTTTTAAGGTAGATATACATATATATCTTTAATACTGGATCTGTAGTTTGGATTAATTCCAAGTCGTTTCAGCTCACCTGAGTAGTGAAGTTTCACTTGAAACCTGTAGTTTCACTTGAGACCTGTAGTTTCAGCTTCTGCTGCTACCAGGAGTGGATTTCCACTTTGATACCATACAGGGGAAAAAGTATGTTGTTTTTAACATACCTATGGCCAGGTCCTCTCCTAGGCTCACTCAGAACAGATCTCCTGACATTGATACAAACACAGCCGGTCCCTCCCCAAAAGAGAGTCCAGTGCTTGTTTCAGAAAGGTTATTTTTCACTCGCATACCCTTACTGAAGGGATAGCACGAATGGGTTACACAGACTTAGGAACTGTGTTGTGTTGCGTGGGATGCTGAAGCAATTTATCTTTGATTATTTTCCAACCTATAGCACTGATCAGAGATCAAATGTTTCTCCTCACTGTTACCAGCAGGTCCAGTCCTTGGCATGAGAAGAAATCATGCAGGGATGTGCCACAGACAGCAAAGAAATGTAGTTTAGGTGTATGGAAAATCCTTGGGGTTTGCGGAATAGAAGTGATATCACTCCTATTTTTAGTAGACAGGGAAAGGATTCAGACCTGGAGTCTCTCAAGACACAACCTGGTTTCATGGGCAGTAACTCTGCCCTGAAGGCAAAGCCTGTCATCCCCTATTAAATAGCTCATCGAGCTTGTTTTCTTAGTGATGGCAGCCTGTTGGTCTGCAGCTGGGGTACAGACCTTACTATAGGGCAGGGACATCTTTCTGGTTTATGTTTGTCCAGTGGTAGCCAGGAAGGTCTGTGTGCCGGGCAGAGCTCGTGAAGCACTATGTGGATGTTAGCCATAAACCCCATGTCCTGCAAAGGCCACAGTTCAGCTTCTGCCTCACTTGAGCAGTGCAACAGGAAAGCCTTTTTCAGGTGGAATGTGCTAGCAATCTAATTTTGGTGTATTAGAGATTTGATCAAATATCCCAGAATAGCATTTTGCCTGTCACATCTCTTGCGTGGTATAGCCAGGGTGCTGCAGCCCAGAGTGAGCTGTATTTTCGTGATGATCTCAATAATGCATGATTTTCACTTGAAGAATGCAGTCTCTTGTGACTAGGAGGGAAAGCTCCATGGCTGTTATTTCTTTCTTCCTCTGCAGGGATGGAACAGGACGTGGCTGTGTACACAGAGGCAGCACAAACCAGCCCCCAGGATCGCAGCATCGCTCACCAGCAGCAGCCTCGGTCCCAACACCGTGAGCTGGGTCCCATCTCCTGCACCACGGCAGGTCTCCTGCAGTCCTGGTGAGTACTGCCATGCTTACTTTCATGTCTATGAAATGAAGATATTTGTGCGCCGTTCTTCTCTTACCACAAGGATCCTACCATGAATACCACGGCCTAGAGGGCAGTGGGGCTTAGGTTGTCCTTAACTTGCTATATTGTTTTGACCAAATGACATTCTGTAACCTAATATTCTCTGCGGGAAGCTGTTGTGTAAAATGAGACTGTTTCTGGGTATGTAATAATGTTTTTGATAAATGCTCCATATTGCGTGCTCCAATTCATGATTTATAGTCTTCAGCAGTAATCAGGGAAGGGGCATTTCCTTTCGTTGCTTGTGTGGAGGCAGAGGTGCTGGAGTTACAAAACATTTGGCTCTCCTCCTAGTTGCTGCTGCAATAGTAATTCTTTCCCATGCTAGTCCCTAGGCCTCAAAACCCTTCCAGGCACTGTAAGAAAAAAAAGCAGAATTCACTGGAGCAGGCTGCTGCAGTGTATGTGGACCTGAAACCATTTTGTCTGGCAAATTTTAGGGGAAGAAAGGATGGTCTTGCTGGATTGGAGACTGGAGGGTCTGGATTAAGTCCTGTCTACATACAAACTCTCTGATTGACTTTGCCCATGTGTCTTGATTTTCATTTCTTTAAGCCGTGGTTACTGGAGGTCTTTTCTTTCCTCATAATGAAACTCGAGTTGAAATTTGATGGTGACAGACTTGGTATAGATATGTTTGTTCTGTTTGGCAAACGCAGGGATTAAAGCCCTTTATTAGTGGTGTCCACTTCTCAGAGGGCAGGCAAAAAAAGAACAGATGGCTGTGACAAGAGGGGTAAATGAGTGATCTCTTGCTATGCTTGTCCCTGCCTGATGGAATTCTGGGTTGGGGAGGACTCAGGGCTCACTCAGGGCTGGTTTACACAAGGGCAGTGGTTGGTGGCAGTCACATCTGGAAGCCAGCCTGTGAGCTATGATTGCCCTGTGCCTGCTCTCCATCTGTCATTCACCACATTGCATGTGTTAAGCCTGAAAAGTCACAGGCAAAGAAAAAAACCTGCTTGCCCTTTTTTCTCTTTTTCTTTCCTGCATTTTGCTTTATTTGAGGAGTTGTTGGATCAGTTTCTACCAAGCGCTGAGTTAGGTCAGTTCCTCTGGCTGCCCTGTGCTGACATGGGCTACCGAATGCTTTCCCTTTCTGCTCACAGACTCTCCCCATGGGTTATGTTTGCCCACTGAAATTTGAAATACAAACTGTCTGTGTTTTGTTCTCTACCTCCATCCCTTCCCTTTGTAACTAACCTGCTTGCTGGTGTGACCATAATCAAACTTCTGTACCTGCATGGTGCTTAGCAGGGGGGCAGCAGGCAGGAACGTGCGTCTCCCCTCTCCTTCTCCGCTTGTGCTCATACATACAAACTGCTCCCTATGCTCCAGATTTGTCAAAGGTGTTTGGGTGCTTAGGGATGCAGAGAGCCTTGCAGGAGTGCCCAGACCCACCCGTCAAGCACTAGTTATTTATTGCTGTTCAACTAATTCCCATCAAAATCAAGAGGTATAAGGTATAATCTTATTCAAAACTTAAGTTCTGCATTCGTATTGAAGCCAACAGCAGGCAGGCAACTAACTGCTTCTGAAAATCTTGCTAAGTATCTTAAGAAACATTGCTGATCCCAAGTCCTTTTCCCTGGGGAATTGTACACAGCAGATCTTGCTTCCCAAATTAATGCTCAAATTTAAACCTTCCTTATCCTAGTCCCACCACAGAGGTGTCTACACAGCAGTGGCTCTACAGTGGCCATCTGCTCCAGCTCCGTTAACCAGCAGCAGCGATCCTATGAGTAATGGTTGCTGTAACGTCTTAGCTAAATAAATCACATCATCCTCTAACCCCATGCACAGGGATAGCATCAGCTCTTCCCTTGCTTATGAGATGGGGCTTTGTGTGCCAGTACGTTTCCCCCAAGCGACCTTCTCAGCAGCCCTGGAGGACTCTTCACTTACCCAGGTGAAATCCCAGCTGCTGAGCCCCCTTTTTACAGAGACAGAAATTGGACTGAGCAGCTTTACCTACCCATGAAACACCCAGGTCCCACATTCATCCGCCTTCGTGATGTAATTTTCAGGCAGTAGCCCAGAACAGCCAGTTGCAAGGGAAATGCCATAAATCCAGCCCTCACTTGTACTGGTTTGCTCCACTGGGGACATGAAAATAAAATCCCCTGGGACCAGCTCCAGTTCATCATCATTCTGGGGGGTGTAAGGATAGATCACTTGCAGAGTCTGGGGGAGAAACAGAAGCACAAATGAATGAAAGGATTGTTAATGGAAGGGAACCTTTAGCAGAGCGGGGCAGGAGCACTCCCATACTGGACCTTTAACCTTAGCAAGGTGTGAACAACTCTCCTTGTAATGCATCACTTTGTGCTTTATCCAGGAAACTTTACCTTCAGGGAATTCCACTCTGCTGTTGGAAAGCTTTTCTTGGTATTTACTCCTTCTTTCCCCTTTATTCCAGTCCTGTCTTTGATAACTAGGAGGGAAAGCGGGCATGATTTTTTAGAGTGAGCAAAAATACGACTGTGTGCTTAAATCTAAGCTCCCTGTTAAAAATGGAACCAAATTCTTATTGGGACCTGGAATTTACACAGCTCCAGTGGTCAGTGACCATTTTTGGTTTACCTACTCGAGCTCGATCTGAAAGAGCAGTTCTCCTTGTTGCTGTTGCTTTTGAAGACAAGGCAGAGACACTGTTGGGAGGCTAATAGGTTTGAATCTGTGACACCCTGCTCTCAAAACTGTTCATGAGAATGCACAGGAAAAAACACAGGTGGTAAGAAATACGGGGATGTGGCCGCATTGTTTTCTTTGTATTTCCTAACATGAACAGGATTAAGTTAAAAGGTGGGGGAAAGAATAGATGTCTATCAGTAACTTCCCTTGGATATGGCTACAGCAGTCCCCCATTTAAAAGGAGAACAAACATGTTACTGTCCCTGGCCAAGCCTAACTTCTGCAATGGCATCACACAAAGAAAAACCATAATGTGCTGAGCAGCTCTGATCTCCTGGTGGTGTCAGCCTGTTTGCTCACTAATCCTCCTAGACTATTTGTGGTATCTTCAAAGGAAGATGGAAACTAGTCACTGTCACCTGATACCACAAGGCCAAAACTTTCACACATGGCTGCCTGAAGTTAGATACATGCAAAGATGTGAGCTGGTTTTCATCAGCAGCTCCCTTTGCAATCAGTGATAGTGTTGACTACTTGCAGCTTCTAAAGGACAAGATGACTCTTTGGATAGGAAAGGAGGCTGTCACGCATGGGAAGCGTGGCCTGGGCTGGCTCAGAGCGCTCTGCACGAGAGAATTCAGCTCTCCAGAAGCTTTGGCATCTGTTTACTCTGTGGTGTATTGTACGCTGGACTAAAATAACTTTTTCCCACTCCGCCACAGGTTTTGTGTGTTTGATTCTGCACAATGCACCTTGGTGGGGTTAACCATCCCAACCTCAGGAGTCTAGTTAGCTGCCTAAGCCTGAGCAGGCACCTTCTGGAGGTACCCTCCTCCAGAAGTTGATTCATCTTGTCCTGAGATAGATATCTTGTGTGGGTCAGATGACTCACTTTCTGGAGGTGCCTGCTTCTCCGCACCAAGCCTCAGAGCAAAGGGAGCCGCAGACTGGCTCAGACTTAAGAGGTCTAACTTGGGGATATTTACGGGGAGGTGAGATGAATCTCACACGTTGTTCCTCTGTGCCCAAGATCCCAATCTAGAAATTGCAAAGAATAGATTTTTTTCTATATATTGTGTTGGAAAACAACATTATTAAGAAACCTACGTTAAGATACTTAGATACTGCCGTTCTAGAATCCATATGAGTAATTGAGGTATATAGGCCAGGAGGGTAAATGTTTCTTACATGATGAAACTAAATGCTATGATTAATAATAACGTCAAGTCTGTACAGCAGAAATGGATAGCGGTCGGGTTAAGATACTGGCCTGGTTCTTGAGAGATCAGACCAGCTTATGGTGAACTAACAGGAGAGTCATTGTTAGAATTAATTAATCTAGCAGGACATGGTTCCTGCAAGAAGCAAGAAATGAGGTGGGTGAAATAGCAAGTCTAGACAGCATGAGTAAAAAGAAAAAAAAAGGCAAGATGGTCTGTTTGTTAAGATGACTGGTGGGATGTGGGAGATCTGTGTTCTGGGTGTCCTTGTGAGACCTGAGGCAAATTCCTTAATGTCTGTATAGTCTGCACTATGTATCCATGCAGCAGCAGACATGGGAATCCTCATTCAGCTCGCAGTTCATGAGCACTCTCGAGCTGCAAACGCAGCTAACACAGCCTGTGACTCTGCCACGTTCTCTTTTTTTTTTTAATTTTTGGACTGAAACAAGGTCTAAAAATTTACCTCATGATTAACGAAGCGTATGTCTCGGGAGAATATCGCGGCGACCCAGTCGCAGCCCAGCTTGACATCGATGTTCTGCGCTAACTTCTCCAGTGTGGGCAGGTGGCTGGTCTGGAAGTGATAGGCCAGCGTCACGTGGAGCTGCTTCTTGTGGGGCTCCACGTGAACATCTGCAACGAGAAGATGTCAGTTAACAACAAGTGACTGTCGAGATTAGCAGCTTTCCGAAGGTGTAAGAGTGTCTATTGCCTCTGAACAGGAGCTGGGAGCCAAACTTTTAAAGATAGCTCAAGTGGAACAAATTGTAGGGCAGTTTCTGAAAAGGCTTTGGGGAAGTCAAACGTGAGTTCCCTATACATGTTGCACCTTGGATCAAATTATTAGAGATTTGTGGTCTGCTTCAGTCCTGAGTCACACCAGGGTGATAGACAAGGCATCCTTGCCAAACTGCCAAAACTCATTTGCATTCAGAAAACAACAGGTTTCTGGATGGTGTGAGAGCAATTATTGTAATTTTGAACCCACTGGGTCTTCTCCCAAAAAGAACACTTTTCCAGGAAAGGGGTGTCCTTTCTTTCATTAGCAGATGAGGATCTCGCAAAAATAAGCAAGTTAAAAATCATCATTTTTACTCTCCCTCCTCTGTTCTCTCTCCTACAGCAGCAATTACAAATCCATGGAATTTACAAGTTCACGCGAGTGGATTAAATCTCCTCCCTGGACATTAGTTGCATTACCAGTTTGCCCACTGAGGGTGAGGTATTCCAAAATTGTGGAAACAGACATTGATAAGATAATGAGTCAAAATGATCCTGCAGAAGAAGAACCTTTATTAGGAAAAGATTCCAGCAAGCAGAAAGGTGAAAGTATGTGAAATATTGGGACTCTTCCAGTAGATGTGGAAATCGTAGGATACATTGTTTGCACGTAATTTATTCTTGCTTATTCAACCAAAAATTGCAATTAAATTTGACTGATTATTCAGTCAAAATTGCAGCTATTCAAGGACTTGGCTCCAAGTGCCAGCCAGGGGTAGCTTTGCAAGCTCATCCATCTTTTTTTTTTGATCTGCAAGAGAAAATATGCTCTGGATCTCTGAAAAAGCCCCAGAGACTTTAATGTGATAACCTGACCAAGCTGTGGACTGCAATGCAGCAATCGGCTTCCCCTAAGAAAGACCAATTTGTCTGAATTGCAGCAGTCACGGGGTAGAAGCTTGCTGGGAGCCATTGATGCTTCCTTCTTCTGGGTCAGTGTTTTTGGGGCAAGAACTGCCCCTTCTGACTGTGTTGGTTTGGAGGGTACGTCTACGCCGTGCAGGGGAACACTTGTACAATTCTCAGGTGGCTTCAGCAGTCCTTGGACCCGCCTAATGCCTCCGTGCTTGTTGCTGCTTTCCAAAATGTGCATTTGTGAAGATAACAGCCATTTCCTCTCTCTTCTAAAGGGAAGAAAAGTACTAGGTCACTGTCAGGTGAAAGCAGTGCATTTCAGAGGTGCAGTGAACCTACCATATGTCTGTACCTCTTCCTCTGAACCAGCGGCAGACTTCTAGCTGTTCTGCATGGTGTTATGGGGTGCCCGCCTAGCACAGAAACATCCCAGGGACTCAGAAATTGCCGTATCTTGATGCACTTAAACTCCAGGATAAGCCTGTGATAATGAAGGACTAAACCGGTTGTGTTGTGACTAGTCCAGGCTGAGCGCTACAGCGACGGAGGGTGGGAGGATTAATCAGGGAACTATTATAGCATTCTGATGCTGTTCTGACTTCCAAGTTTGGAGGTAATCGGAGGACACCTGGAGAGCCCGTTCAGTAGCAGAGACCGTCGGAGCATGGGATGGTCTGGTTATCTCCCCCCTCCCAGCTTCTGATGGGTTCCCCCCTCCAAAAGCAGTACAGGACCAGCCAACTGAGCCAGCTGTGTTAATACTGAGATAGGGCTATTTGAAAAGGTTCCCTCCCAGGTTGCGAGGGTACTTGAGGTCTTCTCACAGAGCCCTGTTTGCATGTCAGAAATGCAGCAAAAAACCAAACACAGCCTTTACATGGCTGAGGAAAGTTTTGTAACAGCGGCTTGAGGTAGCGAGTGGAGCAGGAAATGCTCAGCCTTGCAGACAAGAGCGTCTATCTGAAAGGTTAAGGAACCACCAAATGTCAACTTCCCTTTCAGGAGATAACACTTGAGACTAAGTGTGAGGTGATCTTTCAACTGAAAAAGCACTGAAACCCAAAGCACCTGCTGGGGTGCTCCTCTTGGGCTCTTAGCCTTCAGGCCGCTTTTAAAAATCAGGTATTGGCTTCACGAGCTTTGTTTCTTCGTACCATCAAAACTTTGGTTTCTGAAAATGCCCAAGCCTTGACTAAGCCGTGAGCTCTTTCTAACTGCCAGCATAGTCACTCACCTGCTTTAGAAGCAGCCTCTGCAGCAAAGTCTGCAGCAAACTTCTTGAGCACCTCAGCACTTTCTTCCTTGACAAAAAGCCCAATGAAGTTTGAGGACGTATAGAGCTCCAAAGGCAGAGGGGCAGGGAATTTGCATCTCCACCGCATCACGGTGGCCTGCAGAGCTTCAGTGAGAGCATCGACTTTGCTGTCCTCGCACTGCCAAAGGAAAAGGGACAAGCATTTCTCAGGTGGAGAATCTTTCCTTACGCCTGTGCTTAGCTCTCTAGTGCACTGGGTAGAGAAAGGAAAGGCTTGGGTGGGTGGGTGTGAATCGTCTACCTTTGCTGTTATGCAGTGAGAAAAAGCACAGGGTCATAGAAAAAGGTATGTTTAGAAATCATCTGCCTCTCCCTTGTCCTCAAAGCAGGATCAGCTATCCCCAAGTAACCTCACTAACCTCAGCCCCCAACGCGCTGTCTATTCTCATGTTAATGACCACTTGAGATTATGAGAATTTGGTCTTCTGCTGCTGCTCTTCCCTGAAAACAACCGGCTTAAAAACCAATTACCTCCTCAACCGCCCAGGCATCAGGCGGTTCTGGTAACAACCCCCCTGAACTCCCAAGCACAAACCCTCTGCAGCGACTGAATGAAGCGTGTAACGTCTCCAGTCTGGACCTGGCAAGGGCTGCTCATGAATGCATGCATAAAGGCAAGGGAAAGCGGAGCTCTGGTTTACCATAAAGAACTGGCAAAGGGTGATATGTGGGAAAATGTTGTGAGCTTTGTTCTTCCCACAGATCTGCTTCGACTGCTGCCAGAACTCAGACAGCTTCTGAGCCAGGGGGCCGGTGGGGCGCAGGTAGAGGACGTACTCCCGAGGCAGGGTGTCATCGAGGAATGGGTCACCCACATGGGAGAACAGCCTGAGAGGGAGAAAGAAATGTTAAATTGTCAAACAAAGACATTTTTTTTTTTTCAGCAACATTAGCTTCCCCTGCCCTCACTCCCTTTTGTTCTCCCTCTATGGAAGAAATCGGCTCTGGCAGTCAGGCAGAGAGGTGCACTGTCTCACTTGCAGCCCATTACCACTACTAAATAATACAGAAAATTGGTTTTTAGTTTCAGACTGAGGCTCTGAAGATCTAACCTGGGTCACGGCTTCTGCCTTTCTGACTTTCGGTGTACAAAATGCAGGGAGGAGAGCACTAGAAATTGCTCAACGTCTTTGAAAAGGCAGCTCTCAGTTTTCTGTTTAGATGCTAGGGTGGAGAGTAGTGAGTGGTTCCTTTTTCTCACCTTTTTTTGCTATTACTCGAGATCACGAACTCCCTCAGACAAACTCTCCCCTGTTTCTGGATTGCTTATTTACAGCACTTAAATAACATCTCACTAATTTTGCTAGTGCTTTTCAGATAATGCCCGTTTAAACATTTCACGTTCTAATGGCTAAAATCTTAAACATTAAATTAACTAATTTCTTTTACTCTTTTTAACATTTATTATTTCATACCAACCAGTCGCATGCTGCTTGAACACTTCTTCCACCTGTCGATGCCAGTGCTTTTTGTCTGAAGAGAGAACAAAATAAAAAGAGTATTTCAGTCATGCTGGATTATATGGGTATAGTCACATCTATTGCTTGAACCTTGGGACCTTGCTGGGGAATGGCTGTAACGGCGTGTTTAGAAACCTGCGCGATACACTTTCCAGACTGATTCCCTCAGCCCCGGGGCTTTCTTTTGGACGTGCCGCCTGTCAAATTGCCGTACTCTGTTTGAGGGGCAAAGTCATGCAGCCTGTTCAAAGTATGAGATACAGACCTCTGGGTTTTCCCTGCTTGCCTGATGTTTTTCTGGATAGTGAAGCACCGGCTATTGGCATTTAAAGACCTCTTTGCTCAGCATGAAAATCAAAAGGTTTGGGTTTGGAAGAGCAGACATTGCAATAGCAGAGGACAAGAAAAATTGAACTGCCACCAGGGGGCACAAACCAGAGATTTTTCAGGTTACAATAACCTGCCAAAATTTGCTAGCTCCCTTCAGTCCTTGGTACATTGAGATTGCTCTTTTGCTTATTTCCCTTCCGGATCCCTAGAAATCCCTTTTCACTCCAGCTAGGAAGACCCAAATCTTCTGTTCAGCCAGTTTTCCAGTCGCAGAACAAACCAGCACAGTGCTGGTAGACACGTAACTGTGTTTTCCAAATGCTCGACATCAGCATTGAAATGCAGCTGTGGATCAGCTCAGCTTTGTAAAACTAGAGACTGCCAAAACGAGGAATTCACCCAGAATCCAAATGGCATAAATATTTAGCAAAAATTATGAATGATGGAGGCAGAAAAAGATAGAAATGTTAGGGTTGTGGGGCAGAAGTCAGGCCCTCAGTTGGGTGTCAGGAGGCAGATTCCCCATGAATAGGCGATTTCAGAGCTTCCTACTTAAGGGAAGAAGGGCAGTATTGCTCTCAAACAAGTGCTACAGGTGTAGTAGGAAGGAGGCCAAAATGAACGGGATGCTGGTTTAATCTAATTAACCAGCACACGCTTGTGCAAAATGGTGCGGGTGGAGGAAGGTCTGAAGAACACGAAGCCTTCACAGAAGGCAAGAGTGGGGTCTCCAGGCAGCTGTGCCCTGAAGCCAGGGAAGGGGAAGGGATCCTACAGATGGGCAGCACCAGTAAAGGGTCTACATGCTACAGACCCACCACGCTGCACTGGCAGACAGAGGTGTCTTTCCCAGCGTTAGACAACACGGAATGCATTCAGGCACCAGCACAGCTCCCACTGAAGGTAAAGCCCCGCTGGCTGCCATTCAGCATGTGAAGCACGAGCAGGGGTACAGCCTGACAAAGGACACAGCCAGTTGTATTCTCCTGTTGTTAATTTGACCAAAGCAGCTGCCTCTCTTTTGCTCTGTGGGTTGTACGCTGTGTCTCAGAGCCGCCTGCTGTTAGCGACAGAAAATCAGACTGAGGACAGGAAAACTTCTAGTTTACACTGGTCGGCCCCAAGCCGTAACCTAATCTTACTAAATATGGTATGTTACAGCTTGATAATACTGCAAAGGACTTGCTGACATCTTTAAACTAGAGGGAATGTGTCTGACCAAAGGGACAAGATCACTGTACTATGCACCCTGTGTTATCTGCCGTGAGAAGATGCTGCTGGTTGGTTATAGGAAGCGGGTCCAAGTGAGGGAAAAGGATCATGACTCCAGGGTCCAACCCATGGCTCTAGGATTAGAGCAGCTGGGACCATCCAGTATTTCTTGTTTCTGCCCATAGTGCTGGGTAGGATGTTTACTGCGCTTCTGTTGCCCTTTCTGTCTGCAGTGATGACTTTCGAAAGCACTCCGATAACCATGCAGGAATATGCAATGTTACCCACCAACTCGTAGACATGTGTTGTTGACTCAGCTGTGTTTCAGCTCTGCCCTCGGCTTCCCCACCCCTTGAATATACATATTTTTGTTCATTTTGAGAGTAAGAGGAAGGCAGAAAGATAATGCTGCAAAAAAGGGCTGTGTTGCAAATGTGTGATTATGAAAATACTTCCTCCTGAAGCATTTTGCTGCCCTTATCTGCCAGTATTCATTTGAGATCAGCAAAGTGCTAGTCCAAGCACCTGCCTTCTGGAAGGACGTATCTTGCACGGTCAAGATCGTAGTTTGGTCTGTTCTGTCTTGCTGACCTTTTCCTAGTCTGGCTCAGATGCGCTATGCAAAACAGCCACTGCTTTGCTTTGAAAAGTAGTTCAGACAAGAGCAAAGAGCAAAAAGCTTTCCCCTTGCACGGCTGGGAACCTTCCGGGGAGGCTGCTCCTTGAGCAGAGCAATGTCCAGCTGCCTCAGCTGGCCGGCCACGGATCTTCCCTACCCTGGTTTCATCATCCATTTCTGTTACGTTGCCTTCGGTCAGTTCAACTCCCCTTTTGCCTAGGTTGTTTATGCTCTTTAACACACGACTAAAATTTGAATCTCCTAGCCATAGATCTTGCCACTGAAGTGCGTCTGTCTGCATTGCATCCAAGGCACTGAATTAAAAATGCCCTCCCAGTAAAGCTCTGGCTTTGAAATGAGCAGTTTCTCCTGTTGCAAAGTGAGGGCAGACGAGCCGGCTCTAACTCGTTATTTACTCTCTCCAGACCCCAGAGCAGATCTCAGAAGGAGTCATGCACAATCTAGCAGGACAGACGGTTCTGCCACCCACCCTTGTTGACTTGTTCACTTAACGAACTGATGTTTCCTTGGAACAAATCGCACAATAGAGCTCTGCTGGAATTGACTGCAGCTCCTTCTCCGCTGCCTTTGTGCTCCTGGGACCCCAAAGGGCGTTAGAAAACATTAGGCTGGGCCCCACATGCTTTTGTTCATGCGTGATTTCAAAAGGTGCCTATCTTGTCCATGGGGACAATGAACTCCCTTTCCAATTTAATTTTCAGTGCAAGGAGGAAATACTGCATAAAGCAAACAAAAGCCAAGGTATATTTTTATCATGGGACCTGAAACTGAGACACTATTTTTTTTTTCTTTTTTTTTTTTTTTTTTTTAAATTTAGCACTGGGAATGGTGATGATGAGTGATAGCCTCTGGTTAGTCACAAAACAGGGCATGCACTGCATCCCTCCCAAACACCCTCCTCTGTATCCACCAGCCAGAACCTGGAGAGGACCCATCCTCTGGGTGCTCCAGCTCCGAGGCCCTGTCAAATCAACTTTTAAAAAGTTGAGTACTTAAAACTAGTCACAGCTATGTTTGGCCACTTACAAAAGTGGCCTGATTTTCACAACTGCTGAGTGCAGTGGGAGCTGGAAGACATATTCTGCTCCTGAGAAAATCAGGTCACTTAATTAGGTGACTAGCTATGGCTTAGGTGCTCATATTTACTCATGCTGGGTAGCAAATGTTGTCTGTAGTATTGTAGCTAGCGGTAAGAAGTGGTTTTGTGACACAGATGCACCAGAAAAGAAGAAAGCCAGAAAATACCTTATTTTTCAGAATCTACCAAACCAGCATCACACAGTAACCATTTCTGGTCATGCAAAAATTGCAGCTGGATTCAGATAGGAGGTGAAACGCTTTGTGCAGCATTAGTAGTCCCTCGAGACACCCAGTTGCTCCATCTCTTAACTTCTGCTGCCTCTGAGATGAAGTACAGGGAAATCATTTAATAATGCACAGCAGCACGTAATAGCAATTTTGAACAGAGAGCAAGGGAGATGCTATGTCCAACTGCAGGTCTGGAGATGGAGGGTTTAGGGAAGGGGAAAGAAGAGCCTAATAGCAGTATCTTCCAAAAGCACTGCAGGTATTTTAGCCACCACAGAGAATCAGATTTTTTTGATTCTTCAACCTCAAAGGCCTCCCTGTGACACTGCGCAATGTCAAGTCACAAGGAAAGTCTTCCTCCGCTCAGTCACTGGTTAAACAGTATCACAATATTGCTAGGAAGCATCCCAGCTAAACAGTTGACCCCTTAGCCTGAAACATTACAGCAGAACCGGTGTTGCTGCCCTGGAATACATATTAATGTGTAAATGGTGCTCATTTTAACCCCAGCCCACTTAATGGGAGAGCACACAGCTCTGCGTGCTACAGAACTTAACTCATTACTGTTGAAGGATTTTTGGCTTCCTGCAATTTCAGGGTAGAAAAAAAAAGGCAACAAGGGAACGTCAATTCAGCTAGGAAATATATATCAATAAACACAAAGTATAATGGCAAAATCTCATTTACTTCAGAGGAAATGACTGTAATGGGGAATGATGCATTAACCATAAAGAGAACCTTCAGTCTCAGAAGCACCACACAGAAATCCTTCCTCTGTAAGTGCTCAGCTTTCTTATTCTAGTCCAGTTTAAAAAAGGAGGGTGCGTATGGCTGCCAATGGTGCCGTAGCGCGCCAGGTAACGAACGGCCATGTGGGAAAGCTAATGCAAACAGCACGAGAGCAAGGGATGGGGGTGAACTATTTTGAGACAGTTCTTTATCTGCACCTGCATTCTATTTTATCACTAAAAAGGTATGCAAACTTTGGGGTGTCGATGCCCACAGCAGAGATCAGCCGATGTGCAAAGCGCTGTGCTGGGGTGGGGAAGATGAGTGCGTTTCTGCACCGTGGCCATGCAGGGTCCCCAGCCTCCATCGCGGCCAGGCTGGGCTGCAGGGGCTGAGACATTCAAGCCCTTGGTGCTGGCCCTTCAGGCACGTACAGAGCAGGGACCGCTGCAGGCAACCTCCTCTCCTCCTCACATGTTCAGCTACACCAAGGCTGAGTCACGCAGCTGGTTTGAACCCTTGGGTCTGGACGGCCTGTTTGTTCTCCAGAAGCAATGTCTAATTCATATAAAGTTGGCCCCTCTGGCTGCTGCTTAGGACTGAATTTCCCTGTTTCCACTGGCTCTCCCTTTGCTATAACAAGCAGAGACTCAAACCTTGCCGTCAGCAGAGCTGACCTCTGTTTGTAAGAGGGAGCTCGCTCTGCTGCGTGCCGCTGCTCACAGAGGCAGTAGAAAATGCTAGCAGCAGCCTCTACCTCAGATCCACCTACGAGTTGTCTGCCTACGGAGGCACCGAGGGATTTGTGAATGAGCAACGGAAGGATGGAGGC